GCTCTGCCTTCTCCCCCATGTTGGGACAGACAGCTGCATCCTCCCTAGCAACCCCCTCCTCCTTTCGAAAAAGAGTAACTGGAGAACTAAGCTCACTAAGGCCTGTGAGCTAAAGAAACACATAAGAGAAACCAAGACGCTGGAGCTTGGCTTTGGTTTAAAACCCCAGGGCAGGTCACACTGATGTTCAGCATTGCTTGTAATAATCCTGGTGTCATGTTTGGGATTTCTTGATTCCACAAAACCCAGAGATAAGATTCCAAGGCAAGCGATTTGTTTGACAGGTGATACCAGGCCACAACAGCAGGGAAATGGCGGTGGTGGGGAAGTAGCCAGTGCTGGGTGCTTCAAAGAACAGATACCCTGTGGGCAACTGGCATCTAGTGACACCAGAAGCAGACCTTCGGGGAGCCTTCCCACTCCAAGAGAGAGGAAAGTGGCTGTGCATCAGCCACCCCCCACCCATGGCTGATTCTCCAGCCCCCCAAAGTGTCCCAGTAATAAGTCTTCAAAGCTTGCAGTAGGAAGCTGTTCTACAAGCAAGCAATACTGTCTGCCATGCCTTGAACACCTACTGTGTGCCCAGGACCTCTCCCCAATGCCTTACTTGAATCCTATCGCCTGTCCTCACTGTAACGTATAATGCGAGCGTTCCCACTTTGCAGAGAAAGAAACTGAGGTTTAGAATAGGTTCGGAACTTTGCTCAAGTTGCCACAGCTGGGAAGTGGTGGTGTTTGGTATACTCTCATAACCCCATATCCCCTTTGAAGGGAGCATTGTTTTCTAGAAGATTTGGGTTCCTGGATATATCCCCTGTGGGGGGAAAAAGGACACATTTCTCTTAAACAGTGATTCTCCAAACTGGAGAGAAGATGAACACCAGTGCTGCAGCTGCTTCTGTGAAGTTCTCAGAAGCCTCAGGAATTTGGTGCAGAACTCGGCTGTAGTCCCCTTTGCCTTCCTCTGTGGGCTGGGCACTCTAGTAAGGCTGATCCTGCCCACTCCATCGGCAGTATCTGGCCGGGCCCTGGACCAGCTGTAGCTCCTCACATCTGATCTCTGTGCAAGGTCCAAGTGCTGGTATTGCAGATATTTCTTGAGGCTTTTCTGCATGAACCAGGCTGTGTTCCTGGGCCTAATGTTGTCCTCTGAAGCCCCAGAGTGAAAGCAGGAGGAGCCCGTGTCCCATACTCTTCAGCCAGAGATGAAGGAGGACTTTTCCATGACAGCAGCAGACAATCACCAGGGGGCACTGGAGAGTAAAGTGCTGGAGAGGAGGCCACAAAAAAACCGTAGAGGTCCTAGGAGGCCTCTGCATCCTATCCTGTCATGGTGCTGGTCCAAAGGTTAAATTAAATTGCTTGACCCTGCCTCAGAGGGCTTCTTGCATCTGCAAGTCAACCTTTGAACTGAGCTTGTTAGAAAAGACCCTTCGGTGAGGGTGGCAGAAAGGAAGAATTTCTTTCTGGAAGCTTCCAGAGTCGAGTCCGGCCATTCCAGGTGCCGCTTTTGCCTGGCCGACTCCCATTCAGCTCCAGCTCAGGTCTTCCCAGGCACCACCCTGACTGCGTTTCCACCCCCAGGAATCCCTCGGGGGCTCTGCAGTGCCTGGAGAACTAAACCTGGGTTCCTGGTGTGGCTTTGGTTGCCCCTCCCACCTCCCCTCCCTTTGTTTCCCACCCCATTGGCCTCATTGACCTTCAGCTTCTGAGCCCTGACCCCGTCAAACTGGCTCTTGTCCTTGAACCTTTGTCTCAAAACTCAACGCCAGGGGGCCGGGGATTTGGCTCAGTGCTGCCCCAGCCTGACTCAGAAGCGCGAGGTCCTTAGCTTGATCCCCTGTACAAAAATAAAAAACAAAAAACCCTCAACTCCTGTCACCTATGGGAGGAGGCCTCCTAGGTGATGCTTTCCCAGAGACTCCCCCATCACTATAACTTTCCTTCCGTCTACCACACCTGCAGTTTCTAAAAATTTATTTGCTTTTATTTCTGTTCTCTCTCCTGATAAACACACAGCTTCCCTGAACTCCTTTGCTGTATGTTCCCGGTACCTGCACATTTGTTGAATGAATGGATGAATGGATGGATGGATGGATGGATGGTTTGTTTTACATCTAGCAGAGCACTGCATCAGGGTTTTAATGCATTGGTTATGGAACCTGGGAACTTCCTCATAGGTTCAGGAATTTGGTGACTTAGAAAAGAAAGCAAAACAACAACACCAAAAGAAAGAACAGGTCACAAGAATTTAGGATTTTTATTGCCGTGTTAAAGTCAGGCAGTGGGGAGAGCTAGCTGCTATCTTAGGGTGTTTTGACTCAGGGAGTCAAATCTCCCCAGGACCTTCCTCTTTGCACCCCCCCCATTTAAAGCAAAAAAAGGGAAATTTTGGAGGCTTCTAGCACCCTGGTTAAAATCTGCGCTTACTGGCTATTTGACCTTGAGCAAGTTATGCAGATTTGCTTAGCCTTGATTTCTCACTCTGAGAGAGGAGGGTGGCAGTCATTGTTACTTCCTAGGGCGGTGTATGAGGATGACGTGAATTGTGGAAAGCAGCCAGGACACTGTTCTACACTGAGTACCAGAAGTGTTAGCTCTGGCTACTCTCAGGGTCCCTCAGTCTTTGTCAACATTCATCACCAACAGTGTGCATCTCTTAATGGGTTTCAACCATCTTAGGCATTTCATTGCCAATCTTGAACATTCCATATTGTCTAAGTGAGCTCTCCATCCAGCGCAATCACCTACTCAACACTGTTATAATTTTGCACATCTACATATGAGCCCTATTATCTTAAAATATATTTTTATTTTTAATGGACACACAGTAACGACATACTGGTGGGGCATAGTGTATTATTTCAATGCATGCAGGCAGCATTGATGATCGGATCAGTGTAATGGCATATCTATTACCCTTGTTTATGTACTGTTAATATGTTTTAACTTAGACAAATGTATTTATTTATTTGGTTTTTTTATTTTTTATTTTTTTTGAGACAGGGTCTCACTATGTAGTTGAGACTGAACTGGAACTCACTGTGTAGCCCAGGTTGATCTTGAACTTACAGTGATCCTCCTGCCTCAGCCTCCCGAGTGCTGGGATTACAGGCATGTGCCACCATGCCTGGCTTAGACAAATGTATTTAAAGATGAAATCATGATCTATTTTCATGAATGGGAAATCAGTTTCTCTTGTCATTCATGTACAGTAACCTGAGAAATTAGATATTCAGATGGAGAGATTCACTGATTCAGCTCCCCTTGGAGAGGGTCATCTGCCCTCGGCTGGGACTGGGGTTAGCATTTGTTTGGGAGAACTTCTCCCAGTACACTTGGACCCTTACCCCTTTTGTGCTGCCTGTGTTCCTCTTTGGCCCCCCTCTGCATTCCGAGGGGCCCTAGGTCTGCCTCTTCCACATCAGAGGGGAATCAGGGCCATGAAAGACTGAACCCTCACCATGATCATTCAGATGATCTCCCATCTGCGCATGCATCACGCTCCCCTGAAGGGCTCCAGCCTGCTGATCCCTTGGTCCTAACCTCAGAGTTGCTGATCAGCAGCGCTGGGGGTTGAGGCCCAGGGTAGTTCCCAGAAGGTGGGGATGAACTGTTCAGAGGGCTCCACTTTGAGAACCACTGGGCTAGAGCCAGTGTGACGTCTGTGTCTGGGTATTCAAACCATCGGGTGGAAGAGAACTGTCAAATCCCCAGAGAGGAAGGGGGTAGAAGGCCAACCCAAGCTTCCCGAGTCGGTGTCAGTGTCTCTGTATAGTGTATGTGGCTTTCTATTGTAATACTCTGAGCGGCCTGGGGGCAATCATCTGGCAGAGGTGCTAGCTCCTGGAAGTTAGACTAGTGAGCACAAAAATAGGAAAGAAATCCAAAGGAGGGTCTGGATGGAGTGCCTATGGCCTCTCCTGCAGTGTGTTATCCATCTGGCTGACATAAAACTCAGAGAGAAAAAGACAAAGCCAGCTACAGTAACATAGGATTTTTATGATCCTTGTGAAGTCAGGAGGAAAGCAAGGTAATATCTTAGGCTTCTCTCAAGGAAAGGTATTTTGATTCTAAACTCTTCAACTCAGTACCTCTTAATATCTGTCAGTAATCTTGTCCTAACTGAAAGCTCTACACCTTGAACCTTTAGGATAAATGAGAGGCCAACTTTGGGACATTGACCTAGGTTTACTGTAAGAACTAATCAGTCTCCGTTTCTGCACCTGGAAGGTGGAAATGATAATAATACCAATTTCTTAATATTATAAAGATCAAATGACATGTAATATATTTAGCACAGTTGGCAAATGAGTCTCCGGGGAAATGACAGGTGATGATTAGGACTGTGATAATGGTACTAGTAAATACAGACTGATAAGGGAAAGCACTTTTCAAAGCGTGAAGTCCATGTAGGCACTATTGGTAAAATAGTCGTTACTCTTTGTGGACCATCCAGAATGGACCCAAGAGGGGGGTGGTGACAGAAGCTCTCTTGAGAGTTAATTTCCTGGGTTTCCAAGGTTACACCTTTGCAGTAGTTGCCCCATCTCCTATCTCACATCCGAGTACCCACAAGCACCCAGAACTTTTTAGGCCAGTTGGGCATCTCATCCATCCAACTGCCCATCCTCCATGCAGCCATTCAACCACCCCTCCATCCACCCACCCAGTCCTCTCTCCATCTGTGTACCTATCCACCCACCCATCCACCCATCCAACTACCTACTCTTTCATCCATCCACCTACTCCATCTGTCTACCCATCCATCTACCCGTCCACCCACCCAACCAGTGAACCACTCACTCTCTCATCTGTTTCCCAACTCCATCCGTTTACCCACCCATCCATCCACCCATCCGTCCGCTTACTCACCATGCTTCCATCTATTTATATCCTCGCGTGCATCCATCCTTCCGTTCGTCTGCCTATTCCCCTACTATCCTTTCGTACACCCCGCCTTCTCTTCACGCAGTCATCCATCCATCTTTTTCTCTCAGGTTAAAGTGCCACAACAAATGCACCAAAGAAGCCCCGCCCTGCCATCTCCTGATCATCCACCGGGGAGGTAAGTATTTAACACTTGCTCTCCTGAAGTAGGTTTGGTGTGAGAACTCCTGCTGAACATCCAAGACAGCCCTCTGACCCTGCATGGCTCTGGATATCTCCCGATCCCCAGATAGTTGGCCATCTCATCTCTCTTCCTCTGACATTTTCTTGCTGGTTCTGTCTTCTTTATCCATCTTGCATGCTTGTCCTCCCGTAGCCTTGCTTTTGTACTCGTCCCTATGATATTTTAGCCCCCAGGTCCATTCTCCTTCAGCCCTTGTCCTCTCCTTCTTACCTCCTCTCATAATTTCTACTTCCTCTCTTTTCCCCAATGCCATTGCTTTTCCTCTTCACTTAAGAAGAGTGCTGGGTGAGTGTTTTTCCACTATGTTCTCTCCCCACATTCAACCATTGTGTGCTCTCCCCAGACCCAGCCAATTGGCTGTACAGAAGCTGGCTTGGGGAGGGGCCTGGCTCATGTCTGTTGGTTTGGGCCATGCGCAGATTACCTTTGGGGACTCTGAGAGTGTCTGGGCCAACCTGACCAGGCAAGGAAGTTATTCCCAGCCTTTCACCATATAAAAGCAAGACCTATTTATCTAGAAGGAAAGGCTCTTCTCTGCCCACCAAGGACCAAATAGGAAACAAGCTATAGTTCAGTTTTTCAAATAATTCCTCTTGCTCTGTCGCATAATTACATCCAGACTTTGTTATACATTTTGCAGTTCATCCCCGGGAGTTGCTCTAGGCCTGTGTTGTTAGTAGCTACTGGCTACACCTGACTGTTTAACTTTAGCTTAATTAAAAATAAACAAAAATACTAGTTTAAATTATTCACTTCAAGGTTCAGTAGTCACGTGTGGCTACCATAGTGAATAGTACCCAGCCAGAGCATTTTCAGCACTGCAGATGACACTGGCCATCGAATCCAGACCCTTGCTACTCAAAGCACGGTCCTTGGACCAGCCCCCTGTGATCACCTAGGAGTATGTTAGAAATACACAATTTCCAGCTTGGCCCAGGCCTACAGAATCAGAATCTACATTTTTTAGCAGAATCTTCAAGCGATTTCTATATACCTTAGAGCTGAAAAATGCTGTCCAAGAGCAGAAGTTGGATAGAAACCCAGTTGCCTCCAAGGGTCAACAAGTATCCTAAATAAGAACAGCTGGCCAGATGAGGCCAGGCACTATATCTCGAGAGAGTGACCACTCCACCAGCAATGCAGACCAGTGTCCTCAGCACTTCTGACATTTCAAACAAAAGCCCAAATAAAGTTTCATATGCCATATACTTATTTTTATGTGTTAGCAACTTATTAAATATTACAAAGTCTTTCCGGCCACCTACCTGCCGCTGCCCACTCTATAGGTTGGATGGAGCCTTAGAGCCGCCAGAAAGCAACTTTCAGCTGCAGCAACTTGCTAATCCAAGACTCCTTTGTCTTCCCATCTCCTCTGGCCTTGGTTAGTGCTTGCTCAAGGGGAATCACTCAAGTTTAGAATGAATGCAAGGGAAACTTAGAGAAGGAGGCAAACTGCTGTGGAAAGCAGTCCCAAAGGCAACAGGCAGTGGGTTTTTTGATGACTTTTGCACTGTTGATCACCAGGAAGAGAGAAATGCCGGAAAAGTCTTCAGTTCTCTTCTCCTGCCCCTGCCCACCCCATATCCTTAATTAAGAACCATCTGTTCCCTAAGAAACTAGATATACTCGAAGAGGCTATTTTGAAACCTGAATTCTCCCTGTATCTGAGCCCCAGCTTTGGGTCAGCTTCCTTGGGGAATTTGCTACCCACTGAATCCTTCTCCTTAGTAGATGCTCTGGACCCCAGCTCCCAAGTGGAGGCGAGACCCAGCCTACTTGCAGGTGACCTATGCTCAGAGGCTGGTATTTGGAGAGGGTTCCTTCTCAGCCACCCACCTTCGAGGTCATGTTTCTTGTGCTCCTACCCTGCAGGCTCCTGCGCAGGCAAAGCAAGCTGAACTTTCCAGAAGTCTGACAGCTTCTTGCTTTTCCCCCTTGTTGGTGGGAAGTTGAAAATAGAGTCAGTTTCCATGGTGATGGCAGCTCAGGCTAAGCAGAGAAATTAAATGTCTGGGGTCAGTCCAAGGCTTCAACTCTCAGCCAATCCCGCACTCCATTCCCACAATAAGAAAACAACTAATAAGAACCAATATCATGCACGGAGTTTGAATTTGAGCTTCTCACAGTTGTCCCTCGCCGTGTTCTCTCTGAGCAACAGAGATACCAGAGGGGAGAGAGCCTTGGTCATGAGAGTTGGATCGAGGAGTGTTATTTAGCGCTGCTATGTGCCCAGCTTCCTGTGTGGCTTTTGGCTGTCTATCAAGGGCCAGGGCAGAAGAGTGGAGTCTTTCTTTCAGGGATCCATGATTGTTTAGAACAAATGATGTTTCAATATGCAACCAATTGAAAAACCCCATGAGTGACAAAAGGTGATCTTCACACGAAGGGTGGAAGGGCAGGGACAGGTGGCCATCATGAGCGAGGTCACTGACTATAGGTCCCAAGAGTTCAGGACCCTCGAATTTAGATGAGGTTATGTTCTGAAATGAATGCCAATGTGAAACAACAATGGTCCTGAAACAAAACAAAATAAAACCCTGATAGCTTTTTTTTTTAAACTGTAATTTTTCTTGACAAAAGCCATATACTGACAGTATAAAATGTTTAGAAGCCAGAGGGCACCCCCGAAACCCCCCACGGTGGTGCAGTGACAGTCACTTTTAGTGTTAAATATGGGTCCTCAAGGTGGGGTTTGAGCTCTGAACTCCTGGCATGGTCAAAGCCGAAATGATACTTAAACTCTCAAATCTCTATTTTTACCCCTACGGACCCAGCAAGGTTAGTCCGGACAGAGTCAGTCCCATGTGACATCAACAACCCTGTTCGGAAGCCACCCCGGTATTCGGACCTGCACATCAGCCAGACGCTCCCCAAAACCAACAAAATCAACAAGGTGAGACTGAGCTTCTGCTGGGTTTGGGCCTGGGGGGTGGGGGATGGGGTCCGTGTGGCCAGGGCTGGGCAGGAGGGAGGAAGGGATGGATCTGGAAGTGTGGTTTAGTTTGTGGAAACTGGGGGTGGGCCTCTAGCAATCAGCAGACATCTGTCTGATTTAAAGATGGCACATGGAAATGAGCATGAATGAGTGCGTGGGGAGGAAGGATTAGAAATGGGTGGAGGTGCCAAAATGGACTTTCCTTGGTGGTCCGGACCCTGCCAGTTCTGCTCTGTGAGATGTTTCCCCATCTGCTGATCAGCTATGCAGATGGTTCTCAGCTCTCTGAGCATCTGTTGAACTAAGGGTCGGGGGATCTATTTTTCAGCTTCTGCTGGAGACTGGATAGATGGATATCTTTGGGGGCTCCCATCTATAAGCAACAGCCAGTTTGGTTGGTTTTTCTTTGGGCTGATGGCCAACAACAAGCCCTGGTGCACCCTTCTTTCCAGCATGGTTTGGTTTGTTTTGTTGATGGGGCTGCAGCAAAACTATCCCATGGGTGCTTCAAGACCCACATGAAGAGGCAAAGGCTGCACACTGAGGTCTTCGTATTGTGTTGAAGGTGGATGGAGGAGGATCAACCAGAGATGGGGGAGGTCACCAATCTGTGTGCAAGTCCCGAGGGTCATCATGACGACCGCTGACCTCTCGTTGGCTTTTCCGCATAGGCTAGAGGGGGTTGCCCCCTCCTCAGTCCACTCTCCACACGCAGCCAGAGTGAGTCTTAATGAACATAATTGGAATCCCGTCAATCCTCCGCTTAAAATCCATCCAGCAGCTTCTCTTGCTTTCAGAAAACAAATCGGATCCTTTGCCGCAGCCCACAAGGCTGTGCATAATTTAGTCCCTCCTTCCATCTCTGACTTCCCCTTCCAACCTCCTGCCAAAGCCCATATGTTCTTTTGCTCTTGTGCTATCACAATGCTTTTGGCCACCAGATCTCAGAGCCATTCACCATCTGGCTCTTTGCAGCAATATCCCAGCAATCAGGAAAGCCCGGCCTCTGGAGTCAGGAAAACCAGCTTTGGCTTCCTCCACTTACTGGCTGTGAAACTTTGGATGAATAATTTAAACTCCCTGCACACCAGTTTTGCCACACGTGCAATGAGATGTTCCAGTTATCAGCTGCTGCACAGCAAGCTAACCCCAAACTTAGCAGTGTGCAGCAGCCCTCCTGTCCTTTGCTCACAGCGTCTGTGTGTTAGGAATTGGGACAGAGCACGGGAGGGATGGATCGCCTTGGCTCTGTGATGTCCGGGAATCAACTGAGAAAACTCACACAGCCAGCAGCCACACATTTGTGTGTGTTTTGTTTTATTGTTTGTGTTTGGGAGGGCAGGGGTTGCTATACTGGGCTTGGAAGCCAAGGCATCAGGAATGGTGGGCAAATGCTCTACCACTGAGCTGCACCCACAGCCTTAGAGCCATCTAGAACAGGGATTGGCACATCCTAATCCTCACACCAAGCTCAGCCCACCACCTGTTTTAGTGAATAAAAGTTTATTGATAAAAGCCACCCCCCTATTATGTGCTGCTTTTGCAACATTGAGTGGTCACAACAGGGATTATGCAGCCTACCAGGACTAAAATATGTGCCATCAGGTTGTTTATAGGAAAAGCTTGCTGACCCCTGATCTGAAGGCTTCGTTATTCATATGCCTGGTGCCTGGACTGAGGAAGTCAAAGTCTGGCTCTTCAGAAAGTTCAGCCACCACACGTGCATGGGACTTGTCTGATGTCCCAGGTTTGCTCAGACTACAGCTACTTTTGGGCTTGTATGGTAGCTCATGGCTCAAAGAACAATTGAATTAGCAAAGGAGGTGAGACCGCTTCTGGAGTACTTCACTGATGGGAGCAGTTACAAGCCTGCTCAGGTTCAAGGGAAGGAGACATTGACCCCAAGTCTGAACGAAAAGAGCCCAAGAGGCTAAGGATTGGATCCATGTTCTGTGGAACTCCAGGTGAGCAATAAGAGTGTCAACCTCAGGCTTGTAAATGTGAAATGAAACAGTCTGCATTTAAAAACACTTAGTACAATTCCTAGCACCTAGTAAATGTCCAGGAAATTCTAGCTAGTGTGATGAGTTTAAGCCTTGGAACCTTCAATCGAAATGTCAAGCTGGGTTCCCTTTCCCTTTGCTGTTTACAAAAGATCCGGGCCTCAGGGCTGGGGTTGTAGCTCAGTGAGAGAGTGCTTGGCTAGCACACGTGAGACCTTGGGTTCCATCCCCAACACTGCAAATAAAGAAATAAACAAGGAAAAGATATAGGTCGCTGAGACGGGGGTTTACTACCTCTGGGAGGGCTGAGGGTGCTCGCGTAATGAGGCTCCTGGGAAGTAATTCTGTCTCTCGTGGGAGGTCTTGGCCTTTGACATCTTGAGGGGCAGGGAGCTTGGTGGAGCCAGCTTGAGACTTTTGCCTCTGGCTTTCTAGACACTGGAACCCCTTGGTGTCAGATGGGACAGAAACACAGATCTGATGGACTAGTGACCAGGACATTGTTCTGCTTGTCTTCCAGCAGGAGAATTTGATGAGAGAAAGAAATTAACCTCTATTTAGAAAGCAGCTTTGACATGAAGGTGGACAGGATCTATCAGAGGGCTGGGTTATTTTTTCTCTTTGTCTTCTCGCTGGCTTCATGCAGATTCTTTCTGTCAGGCAATAATGTGGTTAGTGCAGTAGATTTCTGAGTCACTCTGGCCTGATGATTTCCTTTTCGTTGCTCTTTAGCTGTGCTCCTGTCTGACTTCACACACTTTTGCTCACAGGTGCCTTGCTTTTCCATCTAGCATGGTAGCTGGAATGTTGATTTTTGGAGTCAGAAAGCCTGGGCTTGCCCTTCAGCTCCTTAGCTTGCTATGTGAATATGCAAGCCATTTCCTGCCCTGTCTGCCTTAGTTTTCCCCTCTCTAAAATGGGCTGTGTAATAGGGGCATTGTTGGTTGTGGAGAGGATTTGATGGATGATATATGTAAGGAATTTAGTTCAACACTGGGTATTCAGCACGGGCAAGTAGCTTGATGATGAAGGAAAAGAAGGAGATAGACAAACAAAAGAAGGAATGGGAAGAACAAAGAGGAGAAAACAGGAAAGGGAAGAAGAGAGAAAAATCGAAGAGGAAGAGTAAAAACAGAAGGAAGACTAGGAGGAAGAAACAGAAGAGAGGGGAGAAAAGGAAAGAGGAAGGGGTAAGGAGGTGAGAAGGGTAGAAGAAATGGAGGAGATCGATGGTGAGAGATGGAGAATAATGAGGAAAAGCGAGAACGGAGGAGAGGGAGGTGGGTAGAGAAGCAGCAGCAGTCGCGTCTTGCAGCTCCCAGGGGACCTCTCTCCATCCCAGACATCGAAAACGCCGTCCTCAGAGGCCCAAGTCCTGCCGGTGTGGTCAGGCTGTTGGAAGCAGCTGCATGCTGGCCGGCTGATACCAGCTGGCGGTGAGGAACAGACGCCCTCAGGAGCTCGGCGAAACAAGCTGTCTACGATAAGGATGGACATGGGCCAGTTAGGGGAAGGGTGATCACCTTCTAGGAGCTAGGCCTCCTGACACTGGCCGTGGAGGATGGACTTGAGCCAGCAGGCTCCTTGACCCCTAGTCAGACGAGGGATCATTGTTCTGGTCCTCCACCGTGACAGTGATTCAGACACTCTTTGGGCTTCTGCTCTGCTCTGTCACTCTCGCCTGGTTTCCTCATTTCTACTCCCATCTTTTCTCTGTGTCCTTGCTTCGATCTCCACAGAGTTCCCACTCCTTATGACCTTCATCTGATGCGTATTCCGCTGGGTCATGGAGCTTTTGCTCTCTTGCAGTCTCATATCTACTCAGTCTTTGCTCCTAAGGCTTTTTGCAATTATTATTGGCGCTGCTCACCGTTTCATCCCGTATCCTAAGTGACTGACCAGCTGCCACAACGGTCCTGTGTTGGGAAAGGCTGTTAGGTCAGTAGTCAAGCACAGCTTCCTTAGGAGACGTCCACGAGAAAGCAGTTCCCGGCACCATCATGTGCAAATCAGTGCTCCATGGGGTGCAGTAGCGACCTGGAGATGAACAGACATCTGCTTGAGTCCCACAGTCAGATGTGAGTTTCTTATTCTTTAGCACAACCTTGGATTTCTGCCCTGAACTGGGTGTTGGAACGTGGGGCCAACAACTCCAACAAGTCATTCTACACCTCAGCGTCCCCACCCGTGAAATACAGGTGATGACTTTGGCTGTCTCTAAGGAGAATTCAGAGAAGACTGTAACACAGTCCGTGTCCTCAAGAGCACCTGCCCCAGCAGGTGAGACAGACAAGCTGAGAGGTGGCCGTACAGAAGCCGCAGTAGGACTGGGGCATTCGTGCCCAGCTGGCGCCCCCGGAGGTGGAGTGGGGAAGGTCAGGCCAGCTTCGGGGGCAGTGAGATCTGAGCTGCCCTTTGGAGAAAGAAGAAACAGAGTAGGATACGGCTAATAGACATTCCAAGTGGAGATGACGATGCATCCTAAGCCTGGAAGAAATGGAAGGACCTGGTTTGTGCTAGGAACCAAGGGCCATTGAACACTACTTTGGTAGACCTTTCAAGAAAGTGAGAATATGATGAAGGAGGAGGAGTAGGCGATGTCAGCCCAGATCCAGCCTAAATCATGGACAACATTTTAAACAGGCACCATCCCTTGAGTAAGGTCTCTGCATCACTCCCTACTCGTGGATAATAATTTTTAGCACCAGCCCTTCTGGCTCTGTAACTTAGATAATGACCATTTGTACAGAGTATCTGTGGAAATTTCTTGAAACCTGCTAGTCTGCGAGTGGGAGTTGAAAGGGCAGAGGCTCAAGAGGGCACCCGGAAGACCCACTCATGTCCACTGCTCCCTTGCCTGACCCTACCAGCCTCTAACTTCCTTGAAAAGCCTCCGGTATCTCACCAGGCTGGGTGAAAGCATCCCTCTGTACCAAAAGCCAACCACGTAAACCTTAGCTCCACCGGTTACTGACACGTTATTTCACCATATCTGTTGTTATGGAAATGCAATTACTTTCAGATGAATTAGAGTAGAGAGAGGCTGGCTTCCTGGTCTCCTTTACTGACATTGGGTCAGTGTAACCTCCACGGTGGCCTTGCCTGGCCAGTGGCTGGGATGAACCACAGCAGAGCCTTGTCTGTGACGGTAAAACTATGCCCATGTGCTTAAGTGTCCAGTGCCTTCTACTGAGACTCAAATTGACCTCTCCCTCTCTGGGCCAGAGATCCACCAGGAAGGCCCAGGATTCTAAGGAAAATTCCATAGCCTGGGAGACCAGTTGTACAGGGGATAAATATATGTGTGTTTCTCTCTAATCAACTATAGCCAAGCCTGCATTTCCAGAGTCCTAATTTCTCCCTCCAGGGCTGACACCCTCCTTGCAGGTTTGTTGCCAGGATTAAATGAGCTAGCAAGTTAAAAAGACTTCACTGCTTCCAGGAAGGAAGAGTAGATGTATTTTTCTCTATTCCCCCCACTAAGAACAACTAGAAGCCCTCGGCTTTATGTATAAAATACACATAAGAAGGAAGACCAGCTAGGGACCCAAGGAACAACTCACTGATGGGATCCTTGAGATTTATTTTGGCTTCGTATTTCCTAGACTGGGCACTGAACAGGCCAGCCATGGGTGCCAATGGGTAAAAGACAAACTCACAGTCTCAAACCCCAGCAGAGTAAAACCCAGATGTGAGTAATGTCCAATCTCACTCTTATTCAGGTGTGTGCTGAAAGGTCTAGCCAGTGCCTTAAGGCAATCAAAGGAAATACAGGACACACAGATTGGAAGAAGAGAAATGAGACTGTCCTTATGAGATCACCTGCTTTCCACATTTGTATATGTGGGAACTCCCGAAGAATAACAGCAAAACAAAATGAAGACCATCCTATGTCTACGAAGTGAGCAGGGTGGGAGGTCAATATACTGAAGTCAGTTGTATTTCTAAATACTAGCAGTTAACATATGGAAGCCTAAATTTATATCATGCCATTTATAGTTACTCAACAGCATGGACATAGTAAAATTAAGAAAATATTGACAGGACTTGTGTACTGCAAACTGCAAAATGCAGTGGAAGGAAACAAACTATAGTAAGTTGAGCTGCATCCTCTACAAAGATGCGCTGAAGTCCTAATGCCCTGGACCTGCTAATGTGACCTCATTTGGGAAAAGGGTCTTTGTGGATATAATCAAATTCAAACGTGGTCGTGCCAGAGTTAAGGTGGTCCCTTAACCTAATATGACTTTTTTTCCTAATAAGACAAGCAGATACAGGGAGAGCCCGCATGACAACAGAGGCAGAGATTGGATTGATGAAACTGCAGGTTGGGAAGTGCCAAGGATCCAAGGATTGCTGGCCAACACCAGAAGCTAGGAAGAGTCAAAAAAGGATTCGACTGCAAGTTTCAGGAATTAACTCTGCTAATACCTCGATTTCAGACTTTTGGTCTCCAGAACTGTAAAAAAAAATGAGTTTCTGTTTTTAAAAGTCACTCAGTTGGTGGTATCAAAGCTAATATGCATACTGTATTAATAGACTGTAAGATTCAAGATAGTTAAGACGCCAACTCTCTTTATAATTGATAGATAGGTTTAACACAAATCCTATTTAATCCTAGTAAGATTAATACAAGATCATTCTAGGTGGGCACAGGTCCAGCTACTCAAGAAGCTGAGGCAGGAGGATCACATGTTCGAGCCACAGCTTGGGCAGCTTAGCAATTTAGCAAGACCCAGTCTCAAAATAGGAAATAAAAAGGGTGAGCATGTAGCTCAACGTGAAAGCCCTGGGTTAATCCTCAATGTCACCAATAAAAATGAAAATAAAAATAAAAATCATTTAAAAAGTTATTTGAAAAGGCAAAAGAATAAGAACAGCCCAAAACACTTTAGAAAAAAAAATAGTGAAAGAATAAAGTCTTGCCAATATTAAGACTTATACAGCTATAGTCATCAAGACACAAAAGAATATAGAGATGGTTAGTACGTACATGAAAAGATGTTCAGTATGATTGGACATTAGGGGAATGAGAATTCAAAGCACACTGAGATGCCGTTCTCCTCCTGTCAGAATAAAGAACAGGGACAACTTCGAACCCTGGCCAGGGTGCAGAGGGAACGCGATCACCAGTGTGGACCTGGTATAAAGTGGTGCAGCCACTCTGGAGAACAATTTTTGTATTTTCTTTAAAAACTAAATAGGCTTAAAACTAAATATGCTATTATCACGTTATTCAGAAATTGCATTCCTGGGCATTTCTCCTAGAGAAATAAAGACATATGTTCCCATAAAATCTGGACATAAATGTTTTATAGCAACTTTATCCACAATAGCCAAAGCCAGGAATTGAGCTCGATGCCCTTTGGTGGGTGAGTGGTTGAAAAGGCTGTGGTGCATCCTCACTGTAGAACCCTGATCCTCTGTCACTGTCAGCACAGGCGCCTTCTGGAGACTCTGAAGAAAAATCTGTTGCCTCTTTCCCAGCTTCTGATGACTCCTATGATCCTTGACTTGTAACTCCATCAGTCCAGTGTCTACCTTTGTCACCCTGTAGTCCCTCTTTCTCTCTCTCTATCTCTCTCTCTTTCTCATAAAGATCTTTGCCATTGGATTCAGGGCTGTCCACTCTAATCCAGGATGACCTCATCATGAGATCTTTACCTGAATTACATCTGCAAAGATTTATATTCTAAACAAGATTGGATTCTGGACTTCTAGGGGACCTGTCTCTGGGGAAGATGCCATTCTCCCCACTACGGTGCTCTTAAGTCGACCCCACCATTCTGGGGATGCACACACGGCTTCTGTCTTCATCTTGACTCTGGAGCTGATCCAGGGCAAGGAGAGATAACACGGATTCCAACTGAGATGTGGGAAAGGATGGCGAAGGCGTGGTCTCATCCTCTCTGTGTCTGTCAGGCTGTTGATAGTAAACACTCAGGAGGAGCGGAGTCAGGCATAGTCTGGGTTCCGTGGCAAAGGGCTTTCCAGAATCAGAGACACAAGGCAGGTGGCTGTCAACTGTGGTTTTCTTTATGTGGTGACCTTTCACTCTGCGGTCCAAGCAGTGACTAGGAATCTGTTCCTCCTACAGCTAGCTGCACCCCGGGGCTGTGGAAGGAGCTGACAAAGCAGGTGGGCTCTGGAAGGATCTGGGCGTCTGCAGAATGGGCGAGTGCTGCCCAGGAAGCTGGGATGGGGCCCCTCCCTGCTCAGCTCACTCTCTGCGGTGTCATTGCTTCTCTGCCTGTCCTTGACCCCAGCTTTCTTTTCTTTCTGCAGGACCACATCCCTGTCCCTTACCAGCCAGACTCCAGCAGCAACCCCTCATCCACGACATCCTCCACGCCCTCCTCACCAGCACCCCCACTCCCTCCCAGTGCCACACCGCCTTCGCCCCTCCACCCTTCGCCTCAGTGCACCAGGCAGCAGCAGAACTTCAACCTGCCAGGTACCCTGTGCTGGGGACGCAGAGGGTGTGACAGAGAGTGGGGAGGGGGTGGGGTCTGTGCCAAAGCTGAAACCGGGGTAGTCCTTGCTGGAAGGTAGTGGGGTGGCAATCAGAGAGGGTCACGGAAGTCCATGGATGGGCCTTACCATCCTGGTGAACTATTACTCTGGTGACCGTGGACTGCTGCAAAAAGATTCTCAGTTTCAGCTCCCTGTGTAGGGCACCAGAGACCGCACACAGGAGAGTGTCTCTAATATGGTCAAAGAGCATTTGTGAAATACAGATTTGCACAGCCTAGGCAGAGTCTCTTCACATTGTATCCAGCTAGATAACATCCCCCCACACCGGGAATGTGGTCGTGGGATGGTTTTCTCCTGAGTCAGTGAGGGGCACATGGGGCAAAAACATCTCTGGTCCTCAGCCACAGGTCAGATCTCTAGGCTGAGCCACCCATGAGTGAATGGTTGGGAGGTGAATGGAGTCTCCAATCTGTACCTGAGCAGTACTCAGAAACAATCCCCCAGCAGGGCACAATGTGATCGTATCAGCTTCTCACACTCTTTTGATTTGGGCTGTATCCTTAGATTTGGGGTGTGTTGTGAATTCTTGTAACTTTGGAATTTGTTGTTGTTGTTAAGGTCAAGTCTGAGTATCTGCCTGGTATGAGAGCCCTTCACACAGCAGCCAGTAAAGAGCACAGTGTGAGTCACCAGCTGAGTCACCTCAGGACCTGCCACTGAGTCCGTTACAAAGGTGGCCTGGCATGGCTAACTCCAGCATTGTCCACTTCCGTGGCTCTGGGAGGGGACGAATGAACAAAAGACCTTTTGACACCCCAAACGGTGGTGAGCCTGGATGCTTTCCTGTAGCCATTCCCCGAGACATTGATGACAATGTATTTTCCCGGAAATTATTTGTAATGTTTTTATAGACCAAGGCAAGGAAAGAGCCATTTTAAGGGAAACTGTGCATAAAAACACTATAGCTCTTCTTGTCCCTAAAAGAATTTGCTGGCATCTTCAGAAAAGAGAACTGACTCACCAGGAGGTAATTCTCTTAGCTCCTTCATCCTCTGGGCCAGCGGGAGATCCTTGCTAGTTTGCTGTGCTAGCCTGCCTGGGATCCCAGTCTGTTCCATGGGAGGTCATGTCAGGGTCCTGGTCCTCACAGGGAGCTGCACTAAGAGGTCCTGAGGGGAAAGATACTTTAACACAGCAGTTAAGAGTATGGGCTCCAGAGCCAGGCTGCTTGGATTCAAATTCCAGCCCTACCATTTAGACTCGGCATGATGTTATGTAAAGGACTTACCTCTCTGGGCCTCAATCTCCTTATCTATAAAATGGGGCAAGATATTAGTGCTTTTCTTTTCAAATCACTGAAGGACTAAACGTCTGGAGCTTAGCAGAGTGATGGTCTCATTAAAGATTTCAACAATTGCAGCCTTATTATTAGATAAACCCAATAATACTTAACGAAGTACCACGGTTGCCATCTTTGCATTTCTCATCATTGCTGCTAAGTAAGAAAAGCCTAGATAGAACTGTAGAGAGCAAGAGGAAAGCCCCAAGAACTTTGGCATTTGGAATGTAAACCAAGTTAAACTTGAAGAAGGTAATTTGATATTGTCTGTTAAAGGTTTTAACTGACACCAACAACGTCACTTTTAGGAATTTATATATAGTAATACTTTCACCACAGCGCAAAGATCTGAATGTTAGCACTTCACTGCAACAGTGAAAGCTTGAAATCGACTCCAGTGCCCTGCAAGAGGGGATTGGCTGAATGCAGTAAGGCGGCCATGTATCCCTGTGTTCTGTGACCGCTGGAAGAATGGGGTGCCAGTGTAGAAGAAAGTCCATAATGTATTTTAAGTGGAAAAACAAGTGATTTGCAAACCAGCTGGTATAATAACATTCTATCCATTATAAAGTATTCATACTGGGTGGGTTTATGAGCGTGCGTGCACGTATGTGTGTATGTGTGGAAAGTCTGCAGGAAGCTCACAGGTGCTCAGAAGAGCTGGGCTTTGATCATGTGCCTTTCTGTGATGTAAATAACAAAGAGCAGGCATTAGTTTTAGAACTAATAATAATAATACAGTGCAATGCCAAAATGGAAAATAAAATAGGACCTTCTTCCTCTTAGGCAGTTTGGGCAAAATTCCCTTAAGGTGACAAGGACCTGGTTTGCTGTCACAGTCTCCATTCTGCGCCTGTGTTGGTGGGAAATAGAGCTTTGGGTATGGTTCTCTGCCAGATGTTGTGTTTTCTAAAGGCTGTTTATGCTAAAGTCTAGGCATAAAAATGTCCCTAGCAGTGTTGCAACTGGAATATTCTTGTCTGGAAGGGGTTGGAAGGTTAACAGCCATTTGCCTCACCTGGAAACCTCAGGAAAGAGCTGTTGGTTAGAAACCAGGTGTGGCATTGCAGGCCTGGTAGAGTTTTTGATTGTGCCCAGGCTGCTGGGTTGACCTCCTTTTTCTCTGCCCTTCCCCAACCCCCTGGGGCCATGTGGACATGGCCCAGTGTAGGATGGAGTGGAGCATGTTGTGCGGACAGACACACCTCCAGCTCTGCCCTTTTCTAAGGCTTTGAGCAGGCACCGAATCTGTTTGGGCCTCAGTTTCTCATCTTTAAAACGAGACTGGTAATTCAGAGCTGTTGTGGCATACATCATGGCAAGATGCTTGTAGGGGGTTGTTCTGGGGGCTTCTGAGACCCAAGTATTCATACCTTCTTCTTCTTTTCTTGGCCACCAAGCGCCATCTTGATACACAAGTACACGCACACGCACACCCATGCGTGCACACGCGCACCGCTCTAGAAAATGACAAATTCTGTTGCCTCCAAAGGAGACAACAGGAAGCAGAATCTGCCTTTGGTGGAGACAGCAGGATTTCCAGGACGTCACTGGGGCTGGGCCCCTGGGGTTCCGGGGGTGCTTCCTCCCTCTCCTCCCATCACTGTTCCTAGCGCCTTCTGCAAGCATTGCCTGGTGCCGTGATCATGTTCTGTGACTCACTTGTTCACTGCCTGTCTCCTCCATCTATGTAACAGCACCACAAGACCAGGCAGTGTCTGCTCCATTCATATCACACCCAAAACCAAACACATCACCTACGACCAAAGGACTAATGAAATGTTTGTTGAATGAATGAATAATGAAGGGATGCATGACTGCTTTGAATTCATGCACTGCCCCGGGATGCAGTTTTATTTCTTCACATTGTCTTCTTGGCCCTTATACTACAGTTATCCATTCTTTGCATTTGTGGGTATTTATTGAGCATCTATTATGTACTAGCGACTGTATGAGGCACTAGGCATGGAGCAGGGAACTAACCAGATGTGGTTTCCTATTAACTCTGTAAAGAAGACAACCACAAACTTAACGACTTAAAACAACACAAATTTATTGTCTTATGTTCTGGAAGTTAGAAATCTAAAATAGTTTTCCCTGCGATAAAAACTCAAGGCGCCAACAGGGCTAAGTGGTTCGGGACACCCTTGGGGAGAATCTGTGTGCTTCATTTTTTCTGACTTACAGGGGCTCCCCACATTCCTTGGTGTGTGGCCTCACTCCAACTTCACCTCCATCATCACATTCCTGTGAGGCTCTCTCTTTGACTCCCACTTTCTGGCCTCCCTCACGAGGACCTCGGCAATGACACTGGCCTCACACACATGATCCCGGAAAACCTCCCCCTTGCAAGATCCTTAACTTAATCATACCTGTAAAGGTGCTTTTGTTACATAGGGCAATGCATTCCATGTCCAGAAGCCAGGACATGGACATCTTTCTTGGGGGCTGGGGTGAGGAACATGATTCTGCTCACAACGGTCCCCGTTCTCAAGGGATTCATCGCTCAGTGAGAGAGGCAAGTGTGAACCGAGCGGACACACATGTGCAAATGGGATCATGGATTGTGGTAAAGGGCTGTGAGCAGACAGAGCAATGGGGTGGGCGAATTCCGGAAGTGGCCATGTGCAGGTTGAAGGCCACAGATGGCTGTGTTCCGAAGGTAAGGAGCAGGGCGATGGCCCTCCTGCACAAAGGGGCTGAAGAATGTCCCCGCAGTCCAGATGTCACACACAGAGAGGCATGGCGCCGAGCGAGGTTAGGAGAAGAAGTTCAGATTTTACTTAGGACTCAACGAGATGCGTTCAAAAGGGTGAAGGCAGAGGATGGCTTGATCCTTCTCCCATCTAGAAGACCGCTCCGACTGTTCTTTTGGGGGTGAGGGAGACTCGGGAAGGGAAACTCCTCCTGTGTGGCCCACTTATGAGCCCTCCAGCCCCACGGTCAACTCCCACACCCGTCTCCTCCTTGATGGCAGAAAGCAGGAGCCATTTAGCTCCCCCACGCTGTTCTCTGGTCGCCTCAGCTACTGCTTGGAGCCACTTCTGACTGGCGGTCATTGTCATCAGAGACAACAGGGCTCCCTGAGGCATCTTTGCTCCCCCTTGAAGTCCTCAGGGCTGAGCTGTCCTGTGGCACACGGAAGGTTGATCTGCCAGGTGTCCCTTGTCTGCCTCTGCTCTCCAGAACCTTCCTATCACCGCCCAGCCCATCCTCCTTAAAAGAATTTGACCTCCAGTTCAACCTTTTCTGCAGACTCAGAATCAGTCTCTCAACCTCTCCAGATCTGAAAGGGAAGAGACCAGCTAAGCTTCCAGAAAACCCTGAGTGGTTTTCCCTTTTTTAAATTTTAGCCTCTTGTTGACAAAACAGCTGCATGCAGTGAGAAATCTGGGTTAGGTGATAGTTACAAAAAGTTCCCCGGAATCGTGGAATTTGCTTTTCTTTGGGAGCTCAGCCCTGAAACTTTGAATAAATCATTTCCCATGCTGGACACCCCATTTTCCAGAATCCAAATGTATCCACCTGGATTCCAGCTATCTGAGATGATCTGGAAATGAATGAAGCAAAAGTTTCCACTCTTTTGTTTATGATTTTAAAAAGTAATTCATTCACCCAACGTTTGTTGCACACCTACCAGCTCAGGGAGCTTGGGATCCTGAGATATTGGGAATTGCTCTGTGTCCTGAAGGAGCTTGTCAATAAATTTTGCCCTTTGGGGGAGTACTGCATTTGCTTCCCCAAAACAAATGACTTAGCACTTGAGGGTATTGGATTGTGTCTTAACTATAAATCATCCGTGTTACAAGAGGATACAAAGACTTTGTTTATTCATGGCAGCTAATATATTCATCCCTCAGGACCCTGGGGTTCTAAGACCTTCATGAATACTAAAATCCATGGGTGCTCAAGTCTCTTATATAAAATAGCTCAGTATTTGCACAGAACCTACATGCATGCTACCATACTCTTTAAATCATCTGTAGATGATTTATGACACTCAATATAGTACAAATTTTATGTAAATTCTATGCAAAAATTCTATACTGTAGTGTTTAGGGGAAATGGCAACAAACCTGAACATGTTCAGTGCAGTTACAAATTTTTTCAACTACTTTTTTGTGTATAATTGACAAAATCATATTTACAAAACATTATGTTTTGAAATACACATACATTGTAAATTGATCACTAGAATCAAGCTGCCTCATACACTTATAGCAATTCAATTCCTTTTTTTTCCCCCCCAGCACTGGGGATTGAACGCAGAGCCTTTGCACTGAGATATATCCCCGTCCATTTTAAAATTTTTAAATTTACAGACAGGGTCTCTCTGAGTCACTAACTGCCCAGGCTGATTTGCGGTTTTCCTGCTGTACCACCTCCCCACCCCACGGTGCTGGTTTAGCAAGCGTGTGTCACCAGGCCCAGCTTCCTTTTAGCAGTTCTTAATTTTGATCCCGGATTGGTTGAATCTGTGGGCATAGAAACTGTGGGGGCCCAAGCTGACTGTACTTATGTAGGTCTATGACACACTCTGTGTGATGACGATATCAGCCCTATTGGAAGGGATAGGCTTGCCCTGTTTTGCACATGGACACTTAAGACATGGACAGATTTGCTTTGAATTTTGTAAGGAATCAGAGGGACAGCAAGGAGTCCGTCCCCCGGGTCAACTTCTGGACTCCAGGCTCAGAACCTCTGTGCTAAGACTGTGTCAGCCAAGTCCTGGGTAGAGCTTGTCCCTGGTTGCAATAAAATACTTTCTGGAAGTGGACTCAGAAATTCAGACTCATACCCCTACCCACTTTATTCACCAGGGAACCTGCAGCTCTGTGTGACCTTCCTCTTACTCTAGGCACTGTAGCCCATTGGAGTAAGTGGCCAGTTAGAATCCTGCAAAGTATCCACGCTCCCTGACCTCTACTGAATGATACAGAAGCAAAATGAATTGTCAGAGAATCAGCAATAAAGTCCAGGAGATTTCTTTCATATAACTGTTTTCCAAAATACAAAACTTAATTCGTGCTTATGGTAGGCAGAATAATGCTCCCCCTCCAAAGGAAAAGAAGAAGTCTGTGTCCTAATCCCCAAACCCTAAATCTGATTCCTTATATGACAAAAGTACCTTTGATTAAGTCACAGGACTTGAGATGGACCGATTATCCTGGATTATCCTGGTGGCCCTAAATGTAATCACAGAATTATCGTAAGAGGGAGGCAAGGGCAGGTGATGCCAAACTGGAAGCAGAGACTGAACGGAGGAGGTTATGAGCCAGGAGATCTGATTGGCTCAAGGAGCATTAAAGATGAGGGACAGATTCTCCAGGGGACCCAGAAAATAGCAGATGCCTTGATTTTAAGACCTTTGTGAATCGTTTTTAGACTGTTGGCCTCCAAACTGTAAGAGGATATATTTGTGTTGTTTTAAGCTACTAGGTTTGTAGTAATTTATTACAGCAGGAAAAAAAAAGGAAAGAAAATGAATGTAATCCTCGATGCAGAAAAATTGAAAACCTCAGGAAAACATAATAGATCTCTCTCTCTTCCTCTCTCTCTCTCTCTCTCTCTCTCTCTCTCTCTCTCTCTCTCTCTCGGAAAGCGAGGG